CATCATCACTATCATTACCATCATCACTTTCATCACAATTTCATCACTGGCATTGTAGACTGTTAATAAATACTAATTAATCATATTGCACATGTTTGTTYTGTCACAGTTGGTCATTCTTGTCGTCATTTACAAGCCATTGGGCGCCAAAGAGGCATAGAGTATCCAAGTGGAGTGTACACTATTAATCCATCAGGTCAAGGCATCGTTAAAACCTACTGTGACATGACACGTAATGGAGGCGGCTGGACGCTATTGCTCACCAGCCATACCAATACCTGGACATCTTCTAACGTACGAAGAAGAGCCGAAGATAATCCAGCACTCGATCGAGACTTCTCGATCCTGTTTGCAGCTAACGCCATTAAAAGCGCAACAAACGTTATTGGAAGTTCTTTCGAATACAGGATTGAAGCACAACAATTTGGTAAGTCATTGTTTTGTCATCTATGTATCAACAGACATTAGAAAATACCGACGGCACTGGCTGAGACCACATTTACACGATTGMGTTTCTGGAACGCTTCGTTTTTATCTCACCGAAAACACATCGAAGCTAGCATTTCTATAGCGTTTTCTCTTTTCACACTAAAACCATCACAAACAAGATATGACTGGAAATGACGCAATATTATCTGCGCATGCGTATAACAGACATTCTTGTCTGAMTGGCGTCAGCGTTTTCAAAAACCTTCGTTTTCGCTGTCTATGCTATTATGATGCGTGCCTGCTTCCAAACAACTCCAATCTGTAAAGGGCTTTCAAATGGATGCATTTTTGGCGAAAACGCTCAGGTTTTTTTTCGATTGTCTTGGTGTGGAAGGACGCAAGGTCAAACGCAATGAAAAGTATGCTTTTTAAAACGAAAACTCAGTATGAACATGACCTTTTTTCATTACTTTGAGACTGTTAACTATACACATTTTTATGTATGCTTTAAGTATGCTTTTTAAAACGAAAACTCAGTATGAATATGACCATATTTCATTAGTTTAAGACTGTTAACTATACATATTTTTATCTATTTTTAGGTCGTTGGGGTGGAATATGGAAGGCACCACGTTCTTATTCATTCACTGCCACAAACAATAAACAGACACAGGTAAAACTGGTCCAGAAATTTGACCAATGGGTGTACGAAGATTTGGGTATCGAGAAGCGAATGCCTTGGATTCACGATGCAATGTTAACCACTTCACATAACGCTACTAATCAAGTGTATTCTTATGGATCAATCATTGGTAAATACTGACTACCTTACGGATTATATCAGTGTTATTAAGTCTATAGACACGTTRCAGTACAAAATACAGCTCAATTTCCAGGACAAAAAG